TGATGAGAATGACTAGTTTTTTTTGCGAATTTATTACATTTTCGCAATTTTACCAAATTTTTCCATAGTTCTTAATTTTCGAAGGGTGATGCCAATTAGAGAAATATTCTCCATAAAATTTCACTATAGGTCATCAAACTAAATATATCGCTAGGTATAATGTATATTTATAAAATGGGTATACCTTGTTGGGTATATGGCGAAAAAATTTGTTGGCCCATTTTGCATAGTTGTTTATTAAATATAAAATATCCGATAATCCCTTATATTCAAAAGCAAATTTTAGATTTTTTTCGCCCAAAATAAATTTTATTTCTGCATTTTTGGAACCACCCTATTACATCACAAAATTTTACTTATTCATAATATGATAATTATAACATTAGCGATTAGAAAAAAGTGTGCACTGAGAATCGCTTAAATAGAATGGTATTTTTTTCAATTAACACACATAATAAGAGAAATTAATTTCAGAATTTTTTACCTGCATCGAATGCCATCATGACATGATGTACAACAATTGTCAAGGAAAGATTTTAATAATTTATTATTATGTTTTTAATAGCTGGGTTTGAAAAGAGTGACAGCTTCAGTAAGCATGCCAAAATGAGCTGAGAATCTAGACAACCTCTACGTGCTTGAAATGCATTTTCCCTATCGGGACCTTAAATCTGAATTTAAAAAACTTAAAAATCTGCATTCGAAAAAAAAATTATACATGAGTTTAGCAACACATGTTGCTATTTTGAATTCTTAAATAAATTTTTAGTAATATGTCTATAATTTATTATTAAAATTATAGATTATAACACCCGATTTTTCACAATTATCATAAAGTGGTCAGTTTTCAATTATTAATTAATATTTAATTTGAATACAACAATGTCTATACCCTTCATAACTTAAATAACTGTAATTGATGCAGTCGACATTTGCTCAGACAATGTAACATTTATTTTGCCATGTCATGTTCTTATTGTTGTTGTTGATTAATGGTTAAAATTTTATTCAATGTAATGTTAGTTAAACAAATTAATTAATTTACTATTGTAGTTAAGTTATTAATTAATGTAACATTTATATTAATTAATTAATACAAACGAACATTTCTAATATGATACGTTGATTTTAAACAGTTATTTTTTAAGGTTCATATGAGAAAATGTAAAAAACTGACGGAATGACTTAACTTAGGGGAAAGGTGTTAAAGGGAAAAAATATTCTCCATAAAATTTCACTAAATATCGCCCAGCAAAATATGTCGGTAGCTATGATATTTATCTATGAAATATCATTTACAATTTGGGAAAGGGAAATGTATAATTTTTTTAATTGAATTTGGTACATTTTTTAGAAATCAAGCAAAATAGCCCATAATTATCCACTTTAGGGGAAAGTTATTTAGGAGAAAAATATTCTCCACAAAATTTCACTAAAAGCCACCGAACATAAACTATCGATAACTATAATATTTATCTAACAAATATTATCGACAATGTTGGTACATAATAATGTCGACTTTTGGGCGAATTTGTTGCATTTTCCCAATTTTACTAATTTCTCCTTTATCTACTATTTTTTGAGAGATGATGTTAAAGAAAGAAATACTCTTCACAAAATTTTACTATAGGTCACTGAACAAAAGTTTTGTCTAGCTATAATGTATACATATACAATTTAATTGTCAAATTGGGTATATACAAATGATGGCTAATTTTGCTCAAATTTGCTACTTTTCGGTATTTGGTATTTTTTCAAGCAAAATAGCCCATAACCATTCACTTTAGGGGAAAGCTATTAAGGAGAAAAATATTCTCCGCAAAATTTCACTAGAGGTCACCGAACATAAACTATCGATAACTATAATATTTATTCACTTTACTTTTGGGCGAAATTTGTTACATTTTCCCAATTTTACTAAATTCTCGCTTATTTATTTGTTTTTGAGAGACGATGTTAAGGACAGACATATTCTCCACAAAATTTTACTATAGGTCACCGAACACAAGTTTTATGTAGATGTAATATATACATATAAAATTTAATTGTCAAATTGGGTATATACAAATGATGGCAAATTTTGCTCAAATTTGCTACTTTTCGGTATTTGGTACTTTTTAGAAATCAAGCAAAATAGCCCATAGCTAATCACTTTAGGGGAAAGCTATTAAGGAGAAAAATATTCTCCACAAAATTTCACTAAAAGTCTCCGAACATTTATCTAACAATTATTATCGACAATGTTGGTACATACGAATGTCTACTTATGGATATTTTTGCTCAAATTTACTACTTCTTTAGAATTTTCGCAAAATCTCTGCCAATTTTCCATTCCAAGAGGATATAGTCAATGAGTGAAATATTCTCCATAAAATTTCATTAAAATTTACCTTACAAAATATATCGATAGCTATTGAATATATTTATGAAAATTGGTATATAAAAAGTGTGAGTGGTTTTGGAAGAATTTTGAAATTTTTGGTACTTTTTTAAATATCGAGCAAAATCATCCATAATCATTCACTTTAGGGGGGAAGGTATTAAGGATGCAAATATTCTCCAGAAAATTTTACTATAGATCACTGAACAAAAAATATCGATAACTATAATATATACCTATGATATATTATCGATAAATTTGGGTATATATGAATTTCTGCTTTTGGGGGAATTTTTTTAATTATCTTTATTGTACAAAATTTCTCAGTCAGTGATTCATGTTAGCGGGATTACGATAATGAGAGATATATTCTCCATAAAATTTCACTATAGGTCACCGAACAAAAGATTCCACTAGCTACAATATATATCGATACATGTTGAGTGTCAATTTTGTGTATATTAAAAATAATGTTTACATTTTGGGACGAATATGGTATATTTTCTACATTTGGTCAAATTCTAACACAATACGTTATGTTAGGATCATGATGTCAAAGAAAAATATATTCTCTATAAAATTTCACTGAAGGTCTCTGAACAAAACTTATCGACAACTATAATATTTAGCTATAAAATATAATCTATAAATGCTGGTATAGAAGTATGACTAATTTTGGGCGAATTTGTTATATATGCCAAATTATACCGAATTCTCCGACTGTATTTCATTTTGAAGGAATACCGCCAATGAAAGAAATATTCTCTACAAAATTTCACTGTAGGTCACCGAACAAAAGATTTTGCTATATATATATATATATATCGATGAATTTTGAGCGACAATTTTATGTATATTAAAAAAAATAATTAATTGTTCGGAGGATTTTGGTATACTTTTTATATTTCGTCAAATTCTAACACAATTGTCATTTTATGGTATATATATAAAATGTCACTGAATGGATAACAATAATATTTATCTATGAAATTTAATCAACAAATGTTGGTATATATAAAAATGGCTAATTTTTAGCGAATTTGTTAGAAATTCCAAATTGTACCGAATTCTCCAATAGAAATGGATTTTGAAGGGATGTTGCCAATGAGAAATATATTCTCTACAAAATTTCACTAAGGGTCACCGAACACAATATATCGATAACTATTACATATATCGATAAATTTTGAGTGGCAATTCCGAATACATAACAAAAATGGTTATTTTTTGGTTATATTGGTATTCTTTTTTTATATTTGGTCAAATTCTAACACAATACGTCATGTTAGGGTCATGACGTCAAAGGAAAATATATTCTTCAAAAAAATTTCACTATGGGTCTCTGAACAAAAGTTATCGATAACTATAAAGTCTATCTATGAAATATTAACAACAAATTAGTTAAATGAGAATGACTAATTTTGGTCGAATTTGGTGATTTTTCAGAAATTTAGTAAAACCTCCCACAATGATTTAAGTTAGGAACGTGACATTAATGAAGAAAATATTCTCCACAAAATTTCACTAAAGATCACCGAACAAGAGATTTCGCTAGCTATAATATGAATCGATAAATTTTGGTTATTAATTTTGAGTAAATAAAATTAATCGTTAGAGTTTGGGTGAAATTTGGTAGTCTTCTTCAATTTTGGTCAATTTCTCCCATAATGCGTCATTTTAGGGTCATGATGTCAATGAAAAATATATTCTCCATAAAATTTCACTATAAGTTCCGACCAAAAGATATCGCTAACTATAACACATATCGATAAATTTTGGTTATTAATTTTGCGTAAATAAAATTAATCGTTAGAGTTTGGGTGAAATTTGTTAGTATTTTTCAATTTTGGTCAATTTCTGCCACAATATGTCATTTTAGGGTCACGATGTCAAAGAAAAATATATTCTCCATAAAATTTCACTAAATGACTCCGAACAAAAGTTATCGCTAGCTTCACCATGTATTGATAAAATCGAGTTTCAATTTTGGTATATGGAAATAATGTTATTTGGTCGAATTTGTTACCTTTATTTAAATGCGGGATATTTCCTACAAAATATTGTTTTTTTTTATCAAAAAAGCTTCCAGCTACTATTTTTCCCAGAAGAAACCAGAAAAGATTTTATCCTCCCAACAACTTAATAAAAAAAAATTACAATATTTTTATAAAAAATTTTATTAAAAATTTATTCGTTTATTTATCCTAAGGAGATATAAAAAATGAATATGAATTATCACAGTTTCCTTTTTTATGATAGAAATGCATGAAATTGACTAAAAATATAAAAAGTGCAGTGGAGCACGATTAAAACTTATCTAAAAATATATTTCTAGTTCAACATTAAAAGGGGAACACATACCAGGATTTCAGGCATGTCTCTTTAAGTTGCATTGTATTAAATGTCAATCTGTAAAAGGAATATCAAAGTCAACGTTGAGTTTGGACGCCGTTATCTTTTAACACGTTTACAATAAACAATGCCAACTTAACATGTCATGTCTGAAATCCTCCTTCTTAATTCTCTTGTAAACCCTTTAAAGGGAAAGGGAATAAAATTCACTTCGAAATTCCCCTTAATCGATAAATTTTGTTTTATAATCCCATTCCACTGCAATTAATTCTAATGATTTAATTTTTAAAATCGGATCGACTATTAACTCTAGTTATTATATACGGATGCTCTTCGGTGGGACACAGGAAATTATCGTAAATATTTTTCGTAAACGATGACTTGTTATTGGGCATTTCGAAGAGATTATTCCAATAGGAATTGGCACCTGAAAAAAAAAACAATATAATAATAATTTTGAAAAATATTATAATCGACAGATGTGATACTTACTTGCTGCATGACCCTTCTGGCTGATGTGAAAACAATCTTCGGAACTGTACGAGGTATCGGTGTTGCCATTTGGCAGTGTGGGGAAAACAAAATCTTTGGTAAAGTGTTCAATGTTGATGGTGAATGTCTGAAAGGAAGAAAAAACAAATAATTAAAAAAAATTATTAACAATTTGTTATCGAAGTTAATTTATGTAGGAAATATGAGTTATCGTTTTAATTTCTAGAAGAAAATAATATTATCGGACACATTTTAAAAATAATGTGTTATTATAGAAGAATATTGCGATAGAAAAAACTGTTATCGAATGGTATTACAATAAAAGAAGTAAGTTTTTGAATAAAGAATGATGTTATCGAACAAGTTAACAAAAGAAAATCATATTATCGAACAACTTTTTGTTAGAAAATTTAGTTATCGGATAGTTCTTATATATACGATGTTGTTATCGGACAACTTTTTTCAGTAAATATTGTTATCGAATATCATGTCAAAAGAAAATTTTGTTATCGATTAACTTTTCTATAGAAAATGGTGTTGTCCGACAAATTATTTTCAAAAAATTTTATTAACGGTATAGTTTTTTGGAGTAAGTTCTTTTATCGATATAATTTTTTGTAATAAATATTGTTATCGAACAACTTTTCTCTAGGAAATGTTGTTATCGAATAAATTGTTTAAATAAAACATTGTTATCGCGCAAAAGTTATATAGAAAATGTTTTTATCGACAAAAATTTTTATAGAAAATATTATTATCGAACAACTTTTCAAAATCAAATGCTGTTATCGAACAGTGTTTCAATAGTAAATTTTGTTATCGAATAAGGATTTCTATTAAAAATATTACTAACGGAGATCTTTTATATAGAAATGGTGGTTATCGATGATATTTCCTGTTGAAAATATTGTTATCGATGTTATTTTCTGTAGATAGTTTTTATCGATGTTATTTTCTGTAGATAATGTTATTATCGATAACATTTTCTGTAAATAATATTATTATCGATAACATTTATTCTAGATAATGTTATTATCGATAACATTTTCTCTAGATAATGTTATTATCGATAACATTTCCTGCAGAAAATGTTGTTGTTCGATAACATTTTCTGTGGGAAATGTTGTTATCGATAAAATTTTCTGTATGAAATTTAATTATCGATAATATCCTATAGAAAATATTTTTATCGACAACATTTTCCTTTTTTTATCGATGAAGTTTTCTATAGAAAATGTTGTGACCGATGATACTTTCTTCAGAAAAATATTCTTAAGAAAATGCTGTTATCGATAACATTTTCACTAGAAAAAAACTTGTTATCAAAAATTATTATTTTTAAATGCTGTTACCGAAGAGGGTAATTTCATATAGGGTTTTTTATATAGAAAAATGTTGTTATCGATGACATTTTCTCTAGAATCGGAGATATTTCATATAGAAAATGTAGTTAGTAATGTAATTTTCTATAGAATTGTAATTATTTTATATAGAAAATCTTGTTATCGATGACATTTTATTTAGAAAATATTATCAATGACATTTACTGTAGAATATTTAGTTATCGATAACATTTTCTTTAGAAAAACTTGTTATCGAAAATTAATTTTTTTTAAATGCTGTTACCGAATAGGGTTCCTATTAAAAAAATGTTATCGGAGATATTTTATATAGAAATATGTTGTTATCGATTGCATTTTCATTTAGAAAATGTTGTTATCGATGACATTTTCAGTGGAAAATATTGTTATCGATTACATTTTCAGTAGAAAATATTGTTATCGATGACATTTTCGATTAAAAATATCGTTATAAAATAGTTTTTAATGTTAATGTTATAAAATAGTTGTTGGTTATCGACATTATGATCTATAGAAACTATAGATATCGAATCGTCCACCAAGTTTTCCATTGAAAATATTGTTATCGATAATTTTGTTCATAGAAAACCTTGTTATCAAACGATTTTTTTATGAAAATTTTATTATCGATAAATTTTTTTCACAAAGAACCATGTTATCGAAAGGTTTTTTCATAGAAAATGTTGTTCTCAAACGATTTTTTCTATGAAAATTTTGTTATCTATAAATTTCTTTAAAGAAACCTTGTTATCGAACGATTTTATATATGAAAATTATGTTATCAAACGATTTTTCATAGAAAATGTTGTTATCGATAAATTTGTTCCAAGAAATCCTTGTTATCGAACGATTTTTTCACAGAAAGTATTGTTATCGAAAAAAAAAATTTCATAGAAAATGTTGTTATCGAACGATTTTTTCATAGAAAATGTTGTTGTCGATCGATAAATTTGTTTAAAGAAACCTTGTTATCGAACGATTTTATTTATGAAAATTTTGTTATCAAACGATTTTTCAAAATGTTGTTATCGATAAATTTGTTCAAAGAAATCCTTGTTATCGAACGATTTTTTCACCGAAAGTATTGTTATCGAAAAAAAATTTCATAGAAAATGTTGTTATCGAACGATTTTTTCATAGAAAATGTTGTTGTCGAACGATTTTTCCCTAAAAAAATTTGTTATCGAATATAAATTTTAAAAAATAGTTGTTATCGAAAATATTTTCTCTAAAAATCATTGTTATCGAATATATTTTTTTAATTAAAAATCGTTTTAATCTTACCTCACTATTAAACTCCTCCCGATTGGCTATTTCATAATCCTTCCTTATCCATTTCTGCATTAATTTATTCATATAGGCATGTCGTTTCTTTGTCTTTCCTATAATACAGGGACATTCGAATGGCAACGTTATATGACACTGTGGCGGTAAACCTTTTAATTTGGTCAACAACAGTAGATTTGGTGCCGGTACAACATTCAGCATTAACCTCGGTACATTATCCCTAAGATAACGATAAGTTTTCAACATATTTTGTTCGTGGTAGTCAATCGATTTCATTGGATCGGCAAGATAGCAAACATCGGAACAAAAATCATTATTACCAATCAGCATGGTTATCAATTTCCAATGATGGGTCATATTCACATTGGGATCGTGCGTCAAGCGGGTCACCAATACTTTGGCCATGTAGGGCATATCACGTGACATGGCGCCCAATTCGGCAACGTTGAATCTGAAGGGGAAAATTTGTTAATAGAAAATGCGATTTTTTTTTAATTTTTCTTCTTCTTCATACCTTGATGTCCTATCCCGCCCTAAACCATCCTTCAGAGAGTAGCCATACAAATTGGGGTTGTATTCCTTGAGCAGATTGGGTAATGTTAGATATTGCCTCCAGTCACCCTGACCACCAATAGACCAAACCACACCACGATTCTCGTGAATAACCTGCATTAGATTATTGGCAATTACACCATTCCCGGCGGTCAGGGAATCACCCATAGCTGCAATAATGTCGATATCCCCCGGCCTCAAGCGATGTACCGAAGTCGGTGGCACTTGGCTACGTTTTCCCGGACCATTTACATCACAGAAGTCCTTTACAGATCTGGCACGTTTATCGGATTGTTGGGTTTTCTGCAGAAATACAAATTATCGGATGTTCGAAATAAATAAAATTCACCTCTTACCCCTCTCCTTCGATGTAGAGCCACATTACTGGGCACATCACCCGATCGGCCCATTACATCCAAAATTAACGGCCGTAGCAGGCTCACAAAGCCACCCAAATTTGTATCGAGTGCTGTCCTCTGGGCCTCTATTCGCACGTGGAATATCGTGCAATAAAATAAAAGTGCAAAAATATTTCGAAATAGCATTTTGGGTTCTGAAATAAAAAAATTAACCAAAAAGTAGAATCGATAATTCCTCAGAGGTCACTGAACTGATTTGGCAGATTTGTTGTTTTGTTTTTTTTTTTTTTTTTGAATAAAAATATGTAAAAAAAATATTTCAAAATTTGCATAAAAATCATTTTCGTTTTCAATACCGAAAATTACTGTGTTTAGGGAAGTAAAGAAAAAAACAAAAGACTTAAGACACGAACCTTTGCTAAAACGTATTGTTCAATCGATTAAATTGTGATGACGTTTGTAGCTTAAGTCTTTTGTTTCACATCATTAATTTTTAAAATTCAGATTTTGATGTTGTTGTTGTTTTTCTGTGTTTCTGAAATAATAACAAGGAAATTGTTGTAGTATTTTTTTCAAAATCGTGCTAATCTAACAGATGTTCAAAATTAATCGCTGGCATGCTTCGCTATGTCAATTATCAAATCAAATAATGAATGGAATTTTATAAAAAAATATTTAATGAAGTAAAAAATTGATAAAAAAAATCGAAATTTTCAATAGGCGTGGATTTGTTAAAAATATTTTTCAAGGGTTACAAATAGGCGAGGATGTTTTAAAAATATTGTTTCAAGGTTTAGAAATAGGCGTTGATGTTTTAAAAATATTTCTTCAAGACCTTCAATGATTTTCTTCTGATTTTCTTGTAATTTGAACAAAAATGTCCTCTCTCTTTCTCTATTTAAAAGACTTGCGGCTTCAGACCTGGGCAAATCTACTATAGACCAGATTTTCACAATGTACCTGAAATTCTGGAAAATACCCAAGAAAAATCGCATTTAACTGCCCAATCCGCACAGAGGTGTTTAAAGCCGTCAGAAGCTGATCAGGATCATGTACCAAATGTTTAGTACAATTTGGCTAGAGGATTGCCTACACAATACTGAGGAATCTCAGCATCCTTTGCCCCTTGTACAAAAAAGGAGACAAGACGATGTGTACCAACTATAGAGGAATTAGTCGCATTCCGATCGCATATAAACTAATATCCAGCGGACAGTGTAAACAACTGAATCCAGTGGGCAATGATATTATTGGATCTTATCAATGCGGCTGCAGATCTGGGCAAATCCACTATAGACCAGATTTTCACACTGCACCTGAAATCCTGGAAAAGACCCAATCCGCTCAGAGGTTTTCATTTTTAAGTTTTGCGGAAGGATTTAAGTTCTTATAACAGGGTATGCTACCATACTAGAACCTTCGGAGACCTTCTGTTGACAAAGAAATCCTCATAGACTTTCTATCTTTCAAAAGTCATAGAGAGATCTCAGGGGCCACCTGTTTTGATATCGATGGAATATGAGGCTTTAGGTACGCTATAGATGCTTATATAGATCTTCTATTACTACACTAAAGACCTGTAAGATCTTCTGTTGTCATTCAAAGTCTTCAGAGACCTTTAGTTAAAAATTCAGGAGTTCAGTTAAGAAATTCAGGAGTTCTCAGAGACCATATATACGGTAGAGAGGGTATTTGAGATGTTCTGCTACAATATTGAAAACCTCAGAGACCTTTTGTTGCCATTCAGAAGACCTCAGAGACCTTCAGATGACTCAGAGCTCATCTGTTATGCTGAAGGAGAATGTAAATTCTGATAAAATGTTACTATACTAGAGCCCTCCGAAACGTTATATTGCCATTAAGAAATCCTCTGAGGTCATCTGTTACGATAGAGATGGATCCGCAGGCATTTAAGTATGATATAGAGGGTCTTCTGTTAAAACACTAAAGACTGAGAGACCTTCTGCCATTGAAATGTCCTCAGAGACCTTCCGTTGCTATTCAGGAATTCTCAGATGTCATATATACGACACTTTGAGTATTTCAGATCTACTGTTACTACATTGAAGGTTTGAGACACCTTCAGATGTTTCAGATGAGCTTATCTGTTACCATATAGATTGATGTAAGTTTTTATAACAGGGTATTTTACTATACTGGTATCCTCGGAGTACCCTATGCCAAATTTCGTGTAAATCGAAAGACATATAGAGACTTTGGTGCCCCATTTACCTTAAATCGGACGAAAATATATATATATATATATATATGTGAGCTATATCTTAATCTGACCCGATTTTTTCGAAACTTAACACACTCCATTCAAGACTCAATTCAGTACACTATACAAAATTTCGTGCAAATCGAAAGTTATATAAGGACTTCGCGACACCATTTACCTAAAATCGGACGAAAATATATATGGAAGCTATATCTAAATCTGAACCAATTTTCTCGAAACTTAGCACACATCATTCTGAATCTAATTCAGTATCCTATACCAAATTTCGTGCAAATCGAAGGATATATAGCGACATTGGTGGGCCCATTTACCTTAAGTCGGACGAAAATATATCGGAGCTATATCTAAATCTGACCCGATTTTCTTCAATTTCAATAGGGTTCGTCCTTGTGCCAAATAAGTGACTTGTTGCAAATTTCATCCAAAACGGATAATAAATGCGACTTGTACTTCGTTTACAATTTAACATGGGTATACGGACGAACATGCATAAATCGACTCAGAAAGTGATTCTATGCATATTCTCAAAAAGAACCATGGGTCTATCTCGTTTCCTTTTGCCTGTTACAAACACATGCACAATGACATAATACCCTGTACCACAGTGTGGTGAAGGGTATAAAAATCCAGGCCAATAAGTAGCTTTGAAAAAAAATATTTTTAAAAACTTCATGACTTCAAGAAAAACTTTGAAACCGGAAATATATTTTAAAAACAATGCCTATTGGTAGCCATTGAAAAATCATTTTAAAAAAATCCACACTTATCGAAAATCATTGAAAATAAATTTTTAAAAAAATTCAAGGCTCACCATTAAAAATATTTATATTTTAATTCAAGGTTGATTGGAATCAGTAAAAAAATATGTTTTAAAAAATCCACACAAATTGTTAGTCATTGAACAAATATTTGTAAAAATCGGAGTTTTTATTAAACAACGTTTTTTGATATTTTTATTTATGTTTCCTCTTCTCCATCCTCAATCCCAAGTTTTTTTACCAAGAGAAATGCTAATCAGTATAGACGAAAATAATTTTGTTTACCAACATCTAAAGGTTAAGAACCCAATTTTGGAATTGTGTTGAGCATTAATTTCACTTTTCAAAATTCCGCAATCTTTACAAATTCCTCTTTCATTTAATTTCTCAAAAACCGGTTTCATTATTTTTTGATTTTTCTCAAAGAATCAAAACTTTTTTTTATTGTTCATCTGAAGGCCGTATCTAAGAGATATAATGAAAAAAATCAAACCAATTTGTAAACAAATATCAAATTCAAAAAAATAAAAAATGAAAAAAAAATATTCGCATATTTACAAAATCCAATTTACGTATGTATGCCGGCTGAGTTGTTGTTATTGTTGTTGTTTTTATTATTAGTATTATTATGTTTACATGTGCCTTATTATTTGTCTTTCTTTGTTGTCGTTGTTGTTGTTTTATTATTGATATTGATTTAACATGGTAATGTTAATTTTTATCAATTCTAACAGCAGCTCATTAGCAGGCCGGAATATAAATAACAAAAAAAATGGGCACAGAATTCTAGAAAAGCTAATAAAAAAATAGTTTCAATTTTTTTTTATTATTATTTAGATTGGAGTAGTATAAACGTAAACAGAATGTTTTATTTGTTTTAAAATAAACAAATAAATATTTTTGTTTCGAAATAAATGATTAACTTGAGCAAAAAAACCAACGACTTAAGAAACAAGCACCAAACGCCAACGTCTCATTGCATGGAGTCATGTTCGTTTCTTAAGTCTTTTACGTAGAGAAAGAGAAAGAGAGTGAGAGATGTTATTTAAATTACAAGAAATTGTACACGCCTATTTTTGACCTGAAAAACTAACGTAGAATATTATGATATCGTTCTTATCATACTAACTACTCTCTATTAACAATTTAGCTAATAAAAACTTTGCTGAATCGCTGAAAATTAAAATTCACCCACGAAAAATTTAGCTGAATTTATCAAATAGACCCCCGAATATATTTCTAGCAATAGTAGTTGGTCTAAAACATTAATTCCACTAATTGATACCCAGCTGAATTGCATAAAATTACAATTCAGCTGTGAAAAATTTAGCTGAATTGCAGTATAAGCCGTAGTTATGCATTATAACAATGTTCGATTGCAGAAACTTCTATCAAACACGAATTCAGCTACAAATAACTTTGATAAATTTAATAAAACTACAATTCAGCTATGACAAATTTAGCTGAATTGTTTCAAAAGACCCCAGAACAATCGTGCATCAATGCTAGTTGCTCTAAAACACCAATTTCACTAATTGAAACCCAGCTGAATTGCATACAATTACAATTCAAGATTTAGCTGAATTGCTCTAAAACACCAAAAATTGCAGCTATGCTAACTGCTCTAGTACACCAATTCCACTAATTGACACCTTGCTGAATTACAAACAAATACAATTCAGCTGTGAAAAAGTTAGCCGAATTGCAGTATTAGCCGTAGTTATGCATTATAACCATGTTCAATTGCAGAAACTCCTATCAAACACTAATTCGCCTACTAATAACTTTTATACATTTAATAAAACTACAATTCAGCTATGACAAATTTAGCTGAATTGTTTCAAAAGACCCCAGAACAATCGTGCAGCAATGCTACTTGCTCTAGTACACCAATTCCACTAATTGAAACCTTGCTGAATTGCATACGATTATAATTCTGCTATGAAAAAGTTAGCTGAATTGCAGTATTAGTCGTAGTTGTTCATTATAACGAAGCTGGATTGCCGTAACACTTATCAAACACCAATTCAAATAAATAAATAAATAAATAAAATAAATTTAATAAAACTACAATTCATATATAACAAATTTAGCTGAATTGTTTCAATAAACTACAG